TCCTCCTATCTTTCATTTTCTTTCAGAATGAATTTTACTAATGACATTTCTTCATCAAAACTTTCAGCTGTAAGAGTATTACAAATCGTTTTTGATCTATTCTAAAACAAGTTTTTTAAACTCGAAGATACCTATCAGTATGTATTTTATTTTGTTGAACATTTATTTCAAAATGATATGGCGATGTTTTACATCAAGTAAAGTTGAAGTTGATTATCTTCAATGTCTAGTGTGAACTTAATTGTCGGTTCTTGTTCGTTAAGATGATTTAAAAGAACATCCAGATCATTATGATTTTCATTGCAAATAACAAAGATATCGTTAACATATCTCCACCACACTTTCGGACCATTCTGGTAGGTTCCAACGAAATATTTCCTACCTCAACACGAAGATAGCTGCACTCGTAAATGAAAGTTAGTGAATTTAAAAAATCTGTTGACAGTTACTCACTGAAGTTTCAGCAATTTTGGACGCGCAGTTGTTATGTAACAGTCGTTTGAATGAGATGGTATGGACATAATCGAGTATCGAGCTGTCATTAAATAATTGTTTTTGAAAGGCAATACGCCTACGCAAATCAAAGATGAGTTGGATTCTATATATGGGGACCACCATCATTTACCACAGTGAAATTTTGGACAGCTGAATTTTCAAACGTGGCCGTGAGAGCTTCGGGACGTCCAAAAACTGCAACTACCGACGAATATGGTCAAAGTTCACTAAAAGGTGCTAGATGACCGATTAAGAGAGCAGAGATTATGAACATTTCGAAAGAACAGCTTCTAGACGAAAAGTCGATTGGGGTGGATGGGGTCCCTAACGAAATTATTCGTAAGGCGACTGTATGATGGAACTTTTCAACGCCTATCTGGGAAAAGGGTTTTTCCCCGGAGCATGGAAGCTCACGAAGATTGTCTGGATACCAAAGAAGGAAGGAAATCACAGATCAATCAGTTTGTTGACGGGCATGCGAAGGATGTTAGACAGGCTTCTTAACGGTAGGATAAGATGCAAATCAGGTGCGAAAGAATGTTGAAATTCTCACTAAACCAATTTGGTTTAAGAGTGGCAGTAGAGAGAATGATGAATAGGATAAGAGAAAATGAGTGAGGAAGGAGACAAAATCTAGTTGTGGTGTTGGATCTGTCAAACGCCTTTAATACCGCGTGGACATCGGTAATTGAGGTGAGTCTGAGACGAATGGGGATGTCGGAAAATGTAGGAAAGATATACATGAGCTTCATAGGAGTGACTCAGTCTCTGAAACGGTGAACAGAGGCTGTCCACATGGTTCAAATCTAGGACCGACACTGTGGTTGATAGTGATGGAAGCATGGTACGAGCGAATCAACAGTATGAAAGGCATACAAGGCATTGGGGCAACTGGAGTACAAGTGCAGGCCTAAGCGGATGACCAGGTTGTCATCATTGAAGGTAACTTCGTCGAAAGCTTAGAGGACAGATGGAAGTTGGTATGGAATGAATGAAAGGCATGGGAGGAGGAGAAGTGGCTGAGTTACAACGAAAGGAAGATAGAGGGTATGTACATACCAACTAGGAAGGATGAAAGACCTCCAGTCCTAGAAATGAATGGGAGAATTATGGAAATGAGAACGACCGTTAGGTACCTCGGAATTGTGGTGGACTCAGGATAATTATTTATAGACCACCACGAGAAAGTAAGTAAAAAACTGAGTGATCTGGCAGGAAAAATGGAAAGGTGGACCGAGAGAAACATTGGACTAAAGAGAGAATGTGTGAAAGTGATATAGGGAAGGGTAGCCAAATCTGCAGCTCTGTATGAAGTACAGGTGTGGGGAAATAGAGTGAATGATAGCAGGGTGAGGAGACAGCTGAGTGCAGCACAGATGCCCATCCTGTTGATCTCGTATGGGGCTTACAGGACGACGCCAACGGCTGCATTCTGTGTCATCACCGGCGCCATTGCAGGTAGAAGGATGGCCAGATATCAAGAATGGAGAGAGATCGGGACTAGGAAGACTTAGGATAGGGTGAAAGGAGTAGATAGGATATTCCCCTGGTTGCAAGAGGAGTTGCTGGAGGAAAGGGAGGACGAAGGAGTGATTGAAGTATATGTAGATGCCGGAGCGAGGACTGAGGGCGAAAGAATAGGGATAGGCTGGGCATATAAAGGAGGAGAGGATGGATGGATCACAGGGAATGAGAGGTTCACCGGACAAAGCAGCATGAATGAAACAGAGTTGATTGTGATCAAGCTAGTAATCAGCATGTGGAGCATGAATGAGAGCGTGAAAGTAATCAGTGACTCTGCTATGGCTGTAGAAAGAGTGAAAGCAGAAAGAATTCCCATTTTCATTCCTATATTTTCCTTCTGATGAAACAATTTCGATTTTTTGATTCCTGGTCGAAACAGTTTTCCATATCCATCCCAGATATTTCAGATACATTATTAGAATTCATATCTTCCAAAAATATGATTGAATCCAAAAAGAAGTGAATTTCTTTCCCTCTCACATGTGATAAAAGGTGATGACATCTTCCCCTATGAAGTCAGTTTCAACCATATTCAAATAAATAGTCGTTTTTGGAAGTTATTCATTAAATAATTTATTTTCTTGAGACTTTGTACAACAAAGTTAACATAGTTCCTTCACTTTGTATTGAACATTTGTATAAGTATGACTTAGGTTTACTATTGACTACATATCTTTTGAAAAAACTTATAATACTTATAAATTATTACGATTATTTCGAATTATGGTGAAAGAAATTATTTTTCTAGGAATCTATTGAAAAACAATCAGAGGTTACGGGTTCTAATGAATTTAACCGAAAAGTTCGTGATAATTTATTACTATTACATCATTTCTAATTCTACTGTGACGCTCACTTGACGCCTAACCTGGACTATTGCTGCACAAAAATAAACAATTGATAACAGATTATTAGCTAAAGTTTATCACAATCTTTCGAACTGAGTTCGTTTCAAACTGTAATTGTTGATATAAATAATTGCATTAACTTACTGATATCATTTGTTCAGCCTTTTTATAAGTTAAAATCAGTTTTTCAATTATCCAATTTTTAAATTTGAAATGATATATGGAGTTCAATCCACCACCCTATTCATTAATAGGTACAAATTTATTCAGTTCGTTGTTACTTTGAAATTATTTCACAACAAATGATTCTCACAACAGAAACAATACTTTTTCGAAACATTCATTTATGTTATGGAATTGGATAATACTTGATGAAAATCCATAATGTATTCAAGTAACCGTTTAATGTGAGACTTTCAGTAGACAGCTATAAAACCGCAACAACTATACAACTCAATAGCTTTTTCAAGCGACTTCATAGTGAGAATGAAGTGTTATGAATAGGAATAGGACTTTCATCTTCCAAATATCCACAACAGATGCAACAAGGACAAACAATAAAAAAAATTCAACTTTCACACTGCTCACATAGAAACGTCTGATACTAATGGGTTTAATCATCATTTTCTCAAATTACTCCTATTACCATAGTAGTCATTTATATTGTAAGTTTCAAAATTTTAGAACACAACGGAAATATCAACAAGACTTAACAACAATGTTGTCTTTTAAGCATTGACCACCGACATATGTAATTCTTCATATAGTTTAAACATTATCTAAAAGAACAATTCGTTCAGGCCAGTCTCAAATTACCTACACTGTACGTTAATGGACTGACATCTATCAGAAAACAACTACTACCTGGCTAATACCACGAAGGGCATTGGATTATATCCGACGGGTGTCAGTGTAGGATTCTACACTGAAGTTATTTCTGCATATGGTGTTAGCGAACAACGAACAACATGTTTGTCATCGCCCCATCTGCGGTTGGTTATCTGATATACAGTTCGCGTCTGTCAGAGTATTATGATACAACACACAAAAATGGGCTTACAAAATTTCTGATATTGGCTGCTGAAAATGTTTTGGTCTTTGTTTTGTTTAATAGTAGAGAATATTAGAGATGAAACTCACAAAACTTCAGGGACGACGATAACACGGCATTTCAAAGAGGGATTTCTGACAACCAGTGCCACCATTAACCAAGGATAATGCCTGTGTATACACCATTTTTATCGAACGTTATTAGACCGGTTCAGTAACGATATACTATTGGGAAAAACTTATTGTAATAAAGCTGGTTTTAATCAGTCATGTAAACACCTACTTTAGGCACTGGCTGTAATGATTTAGTGATATGTAAATTCCCTAATTTATAAACTAGTAAATTTTTTTGAACGAAGCCCATTTGAATCGGATGAATGCTAGTGAAGGATTAACCTAATTGGGAAAATCTTCAGGTTGATAAAATATTTTGCCAATCAGTGAAACATATGCAAGAAATTGCTACTTAAAATTGCTAAAATATGCAAACAAATTTCTCAATATCAATGTGTAAGTTTACATTTTTAGGTTTTCTGGAGCAACTGACTTTTCATTTCTTTTTCCTTGAATATATGATGTCACTAGCAAAAAGTCCCAACAAGATAGTATTCCTGTCAAAATGAAAGGTATTTATTTATATTTTCACTTTTTACAGCTAAAAACGTCTGACAGCGCATATTCCGGATTCATGAGAACTCAGTCGAATGTGTCATTATTAAAAAACAAAATTCGGGCTGGTAGGTCGTGGTCGAATACAACTCGTAGTACCAATTGTTTCGTCCACTACTGTGAACAGATGACCGAT